AGACGTTTCATGACCCAACTAGGTAACATCATCAATGCTAGAAGGGAACAGGGTGTGTGGAGTGGAGGAGGGGGAGGAAGAGGAGGAGGAAGACTGTGGGGTCCTTGATACTTTCTGAGCTTGGTGGTTTTCTTGCAGATGTTTCATGACCCAACTAGGTAACATCATCAATGCTAGAAGGAAGCAGGGTGAGTGGAGGAGAATAAAGAGGAGGAGGAGGAGGAGGAGAAAGAGGAGAACTGTGTGGTCCTTGGTGCTCTCTGATCTTAAGTGGTTTCTTGCATGTTTCATGACCAATTTAGGTAACATCATCAGGCCTAGAAGAAAGCAGAGTATGTGGAGAGGAGGAGGAGGAGGAGGAAGACTGTGGGGTTCTTGGTGCTCTCTGAGCTTAGTGGGTTTTCTTGCAGATGTTTCATGACCCAACTAGGTAACATCATTAGGATACTGAGCTACAAATATTCTCTCCTACGGAAGGAGAGACTATTCATAGAGAAAATGATGTAAGGCTCCCACGGTTTGAACTGTGACACCCTAAGATATCAGAAACAAATTTGTAAGGTTGGAAATTTTGCGGGGCTTAAACGAACACGGAATTGGTTCCTGTTTATCCGGGTGAAATAGGCCGAAGGCCCCAAAGGGGCTCCGATGCAAAATCTACCATGGTTTCGTTTGCCACGCAGATGGAAATTTTACAAGGGGGTGGTGGTGGTAGTAAGTTTTCTCCTTCTTACTACTCTTAATCCCAAAGGTGCTTTTTTTTTTTTCCAGAGGTACCTGGACTTTCTGGTTTTTCTTTTGAAGGCGTTTTGCTTCTCACCCGAGAAACGTCTTCTGAAGAGCTGAAGAAGCTTCTTGGATGAGAGGCGAAACGTCCTCAAAGAAAAACCACCTTTTGAGCACCTTTTGAGACCACCATGACTTGGATGGCCGAGAATCTCCACAGACATCCCACTGTTAATCTCTATGAGATCCTAAGGATATCAGCAGAGTCCTGAAAGATCACACAGATCACAGTCGAACAGTCAACAACGGGCTATTCGAGGAATCACCAGGAATGCTCCCACCGCTAACACCGACAAGGGCAAGCCACTGGTATATGAACACAGAGCAAACCCCGCTGCCTCCTAGCACTCATGATGTTACCTAGTTGGGTCATGAAACGTCTGCCAGGAAAAGATCCAAGTTCGGAGAACACCAAGGAACCCATAATCCTCCTCTTCCTCTCTGCAAACCCCCTCCGTTTTCGGACTGAGGAGGGTACCTAGTTGGGCAATGAAATGTCTGCAAGAAAACCGCCAACCCCACAGTCCTCCTCCTTCCTCTGCCCTTCCCCTCCCTCTCTTCTCCTCCTCTTCCCCTTCCCCTCCTTCTTCATATCTTCTACGACTCTGCAAACCTCACTCCCTTCTAAAACGAACGTTACCCTAAGAAAACAATCAAGCTCATCTTCTTCCTTCTACCCCTTCCCGCTCTCTCTCCTCCTCCTCCTCCTCCCCTCTCTTCCTCCCTCTCCACTTCTTCTCCTCCTCCACTTCACAAACCTCACTCCTTACTAGCGCTGATGGATATTCCCAAGTTGGGTAATGAGATGCCAAACGCAGAGAGCGCAAAGGAGCCCACCGTCCAGCCCTGAGCTTCACATATTCTCTTCTATTGGTTCCAACGTGTCGCCTTGATACTATCAGGTGTGAAGCACTTGTATCGGTGCATATTTACCACTGAATGCTTAAATGAACAAAATGATGATGATGACTGATGATGATGATAGGCTGGGGGATACCAAACAGGCAACAATTCATTACCTTTTTTCGTAAGTGGAAGACAGCAAAGCTCCATCTGGTCCTTTGGTGATTATTCCTACACAAATTTGATGTTCGTCAATCACATGCGGGTTTTCCAAACTAACTGGGAATGGTCTAAAAGAAAAGGAGAAAGTCAACACAATGTAATCAAGGTGTTATAGAGATGGCCTTCATGGCTTAATAATTCTCTGCCTAATTCCTGAAACCAGGCACAATGAGTAGGCAACCACCTGTAGGTACTCGAAGGTTCAGATCTAGCAATCTGAAGTACCGTTACAGGCAGTCCTCGACTTACAACCATTCATTTAGTGATCGTTCGAAGTTACAACGGCACTGAAAGAAGTGACCTACGACCATGTTCCACACTTATGACCGCTGTAGCGTCCCCACGGTCATGGGATCGAAATTTGGATGCTTGGCTACTGGCAGGTACCCCTGTTTCCCTGAAAACAAGATCCAACTGGAAAATAAGCCCTAGCGTGGTTTTTCAGGATGCTCGTAATATATAAGCCCTACCCTATAAATAAGCCCCAGTTAAGATTGTCGGCAAGACGGATGCATTTGGAACCGTATCTTCCCTGAAAATAAGACCTAACCAGAAAATAAGCCCCCATTGGAGCAAAAATTAACATAGGACCTGCTCTTATTTTCAGGGAAACACGATATTCATGACGGTTGCCATGTCTCAGGGGTCATGTGATCCCCTTTTGTGACGTTCTGACAAGCCAAGTCAGTGGAGAAGCCGTATTCACTTTACAACCGTGTTATTATCTTAACAGCTGCTAAGATTCATTTAACAATTGTGGCGAGAAAGGTTGTAAAATTAGCCACAGAAATTTTGGATTCGGTTGTGGCTCTAAGTCAAGGACTACCTGCACATATTCATTAAATTCATTCCTACAATCTCCTCCGTTGTGAGCCTTATTTCCTGAGAGGGAGGAGAGTTGACAATTTTCACAAGGGGAAAAGAGAATTCCTTTCTCTAAAGGAAGTTGTTAATTCCAGATCACATAATTCACTTTCATTGATGGCAACCATACGTAAATGTTCATCCCGTATTAAATAAGTCCAAATAGCTACCAACCTTCTGTTCTTAATAAGAAAAATGAAGCAGGAAGAGAAAAAAATAAACAACTTTTTCCCACATGTATCATGCAGATAATTGGCTGGGATAGTACCCAGTGACTTGAAATGGACATTCATGTTCATAAAGTAATGAGGTGTAAAAACAAAGTTGAACTGAGATCAATCCAAAGCAAAACTTCCATTCAGACTTAGCCGCAAAACATCTGTTGAGATTCGTATAAATTTATCACAGCCTTCACATCAAATTTGGGGCTTCCGGTTGACGTCACGGCGAACTCAGTAGCAGAGAACAGAAAGCTCCATTCCTGCACTGGTCTTCTGCTGTTTGTGGGCTCCAGAAGGAGCCGACAACTGCCTTGGAGGGGCAGTGAAGCTGTGGAGGGGTGCTCTGTGAGGTCCCAGAGGAGAACGCAAGTTCTCCGTGGAACCCTGGAGCTTTTCCCTCTTTGCCACGACGGCGGCAAACGGCGAGAAGAGGCTAGTCAAAATGGCCACCATGGAGTCACAACAACAGTGAACAGCAAAGAATTGTGCAGGAGAGGAGAAAGTGGATGATATACGGAGCTGGGTGAGAAGAATTATTTAAAATTTACCCCCAAAAGTTTTTGCCGGGAAAAAAAGGATCTCGCTGTCACATTAAAAGCGGCGGTTTAAACACTAAGAGAAAGACTTTAAAAAGAGAAAGGGAAAAAAGGAGAAGAGGGGGCAACTTTCGGAATATGGAAAATATAGAAGATCAGAACTTCTAAGAAAAGAAAATATTGTTTTGTGGAAGCATATTAACATGCTGGAAACAGATATTCTAAAAATTGGATTCTTTACCATTTTGAATGGATATTTTAAAATTGGAAACTGGCTAAAATTACAGGATTTAACTGCGTCACTAGCAAACAAGATATTCCCAGGAAGTAAAACTTATACTGAGGTGACTTTGAAAGTTTTAATAAAAGGATTGAAAATAAGGTATAAGAACTTTAAACCTTGTGAGGACTGATTTTGGCGTGGATATTTGACTTGGATATTTGGACTATTGTATTTTCGGACTTAAAAACAAAAGAAAACATTAAAAGAAACTAAACGAGGCGAGTTACCAACAAGAACGAAATGGGAGTTGGACAGAAATGGTATCGATACTTATGGATATTAAGGACAGCCGGGACAGAGTTCTTAACAAAATGCAGAGCATAGAGGAAAAGATAGAAAGGAGCATGCAAGACGTACAAGAAAAAGAAGAAGAATCAATTAGAGGACCAGAAGAGAACGTAGAAAAAAAATCAACAAAAGGACTATGATGATGAGAAAGAAGAGACGATAAATATAATAACAATGGATGCAACAAACAGAAAGGAGAATATGGAATTGAAAGAGTAAATAAAATTGCAAAATGATTTCCCAGCGAGAGAGAAAAAAAACAAGAGCAGACATTCGGAATACTAGACAATGGAACAGGATGGAGAAGGGAGAAAAGTTCAAAACAACAAGTTACAAGATGGAGGCAGACAGGGACAAAGACCTGAGAGAGGAATATGGGAGGTGAGCTGTGAAGAGAAAATTTAATTTGCTAAAACAAATAAGAGACAATGGTTAACGAAAAATTTCATTCTTTTAAAAAATAATTCTTTTTTCCTTTTCTCTCTCTTTCTTAATATAAAAAAGATATAATTAAATTGTAGACAAGGTTGAAATTAATGAGGGGGGGAGTAATGGAATATATGAAATGAAATTTGAATGATAGTTAAAAGTAGTGATGAATGTAAAAATAATGTATTGAAAGATTGATTAATTAAATGATGGTAATACAGAATTTAATATAAATAGGATTATTATTATTAATAGAGCTGTAAGGATTTGTTAACGGTATTAAATGTATTAAAGATGATAATAACATTGTAAGAGGTCTCTCCCCTGAGAGAAATAAAAGTAAGAGTAGATACTTTGAAAATTAGACAGTGAAATAGGGCGGAGAAGGGGAAAAGGGTCAAAATGTGGAAGCAGATAAGAATAAAGATTTGAGAGAGGAATAAAGGAGGTGAGCTAAAAAGAATATGTTTAGTATTTTAGAACAATAAAAAGAGAGAGAGATAATGGTTAAAGAAAAAACTCCATCACCATTAAACTTATCTTTATCTTTTCTTCTTTCTCCAATATAATAAAGATATAATTAAAAGTAGAATAATGTTGGAAATAAGTGGGGGGATAAGAGAGTACATGAAATGGAATTGATTGTTAAAGTGCTAATTTAATATTAACAGAATTATTATTAGTAGAGCTATAAGGACTTTTCAAATGTATTAAATATGATTAATGATGTTTTTTATCTGTGGTAAAAAGGAAGGATATATCTGATGAATGAAATGTTGCAATAAAAAAGAAAATATATCAGGGGATATTCTTGTAGTGGCATAACTGAAAGTTAGAATTGGGATGGAATTGGAGAGGGCGGGAAATAATGGTATATAATTTTTTTAATAAGATGATGTAAGAAAAAGAAAGGAAATTCAAAATTTGAATGAGGATGATATTAAGTATATTTGAATAATATGAGGATTAGCATAAAAGAATTATTATAACAAAATACTGAATATATAAATGAATAAGAGATTAAATGGAATGTAAGGATGTGTATTAAGGTTGGAATGAAATAAGATTATGAAATATAATTAATATGATTATTAATATGTTATTGGATGTAAAATGGAAACACCCAGATGTTATATTGTTCACACATTGATATGTACGTAAAATAAAAATAAAAAACTTTGGGGGAAAAAAAAATAGAACAACTTAAGTTCGCATTATGTATGAGTTAAAGGGAGTTACTTTGCAGTAAGACAGGCAGCCTATAAACTTTTATGAATGAATTAGCTCGATACCTGTGCTTCGCTACGAAACTATGTGATCGGGCTTAGTTTTTGGGGAGGAAAATAAGGGGGGGGGATTCTGCCTCTGTCTCCCAGCATCCAGGAATTCATCTGGTTAGCGTCCTGTCAGTGTATGGGAGAGTTGAGGGCTTTTTGGAAACTAAAACAGTATTTGCTGTGTGAACAAAGAGTAGACAGCAAGGAGCCTGGGCGTGGCTTAGCTCAACTGTTCTGTACTAAAGCTGCTTGGTGCTGTGAAACTGAAAGTGAAACTCCTCACCTCCGCTGGTGTTTTGCATTTGGAAGAGATTTCTTTTCAGGTGGGATGGGGGAGTAGAACTCCTTAGCATCAGAGCGTGATAATAATAATAATAATATACAATATACTAATAGCTCTGATGGTCATTTTGAAAAATCCTTTCTTAGCGAGCATCTAGAAGCCAAAAGGAACATACGTGCCAAATTTCAAGTTTGTAGGCTTTACAGTTCTGGAGATTTTGTGATGATGTGTGATCGGTATTTTGCCTTTACGTATATAAACAAACAAATGTAGAATGAAGGCAAACATACAGGTAGCCCTCAACTTACGATGGTTCGTTTAATGATTGTTCAAAGTGTTAGGGTAATAAATAAAGGAAAGAAATTAAAAAATATTATAGAGAGAAAGTGGAGAGTTACTCTGTAAGCATGTCTTATCTTGATGTTAGGCAGTTGTTTTCCTATGTATATAGAAGCATTTATCTCTCTAGGCCTTTCTTATCTGGCTGTTGTGGAAAATATTTCTCTAACCTTTGTGTTGTAAAACTAGCCTGCAATGAGTTACATCTCTCTCATATGAGAGAGACACATGATTATCCCATCTAAATCAATCTGAATGGAATGCACTCCCTGGGAAAGTAACCCCCTACATCTGGAGCAATATACACCCTTTGAAGTATGCTGTTAATAGCCCTCTTAAATGGCCAGTTGTGATCGATTAACAGACAATAAATAGGAGAAAGGATACTGAAAGATAAACAAGGGCCAGGAGGACATTTGTCTTGCTGCAGGAAAGATGTAAATCCAACTTAAGAGTGTTTTACAAGGCAATTACTCTACTTCAAAAAGAATCTTAAGGTATAAGAAGAGTTACTTTCGCCTATATGCTTTGTAACTTTCCTCACATAT